CACTTATGGCCCCTAAATTTTCGGGGAGAAATCCAGATTACAGTCCAGAAAGTGAATTTTAAGAGACATTTTGCAACAAATTTTTTATAAGCAGAAAGTAGTTCAGTCACAAGATCTTTGTAATTGTCAGCTTTCACATTTCTAAGGTTTCAAAGGCACTCCAGGCTCGTATTTCACTTTTATTGAGCATTTCCTCAAATGTTTCATCTTTCATTAGTTGCCTTATTTGCGGACCCAAAAATATGCCGTCCTTAATTTTTGCTTCACTTACTCTTGGAAATTTTTGTTTCAGTTTCAAAAACCCTCTTCCATTTCAGTCTGTTGCCTTGACAAAGGTTGAAGTAATAGCTTTTTGGAATCAACTAGAGGTTAACTGGTAACGTTATTTGGTCCCGGAGTGAGTGACTGCTCGGAGCGGTCATGTGAATTTGCTGAATAGCCAGAAGTTACACTAAGGTAAATCAGGCGGTGTTTGCGGCACGATATTAATTGAAAATGTGGCGAAATGAGATGGTGCATTATCGCACTTTTTTGTTCAATAAATTCAGACATAGTAAAAATCCAATAATTCACTTCTAGAGCCACACAAAACGACACGTATCTCAAATACTAATGAATATTTTGAGGTGAAATTTAGCATAGATGTCACTAACAGTACTACCACCTTACAGAGAAAAAAAATTACCGATCCGAAAAATAAGCGAAGTATAAACTAATTCGAAGTAATTCACCTTTCAATTTGATTACAGTAGTATTGTAAARTCTAAAGCCACAGGTTACAGAATATCTGTGGGTGATAGAAGAATTCTGTCTTTGATTTGACTACAGAGTATGAAACTGCATTAGAAACACTTAAGAATTTTAATGACATAAATTAGGTGTCTACTAGTGTAATATGTAGCAATGCCAAAACTAGATAAATCGGATTATAACTACTTTTATTTCCCATATACCTATTACCAGATACTCAAACTTTCAGTTCTTCTTACACCGTATATGTATATCTGTAAATATGCAAGATATCTTAAAAGAATTAAGTGGTCATATAATGTTAGGATATACTATCAGCTTATGCCAAAAATATATAAAATTTAAGTATTCCCACAGGATACGTATATTGATTTTCGACAACAAAATGTTGCTTCTGAGTATAACAATTAACGGCTGTTTTATCACCTGAAACCAATCGAAATAAATATAAAATTATGTACATACAACCAGTCAAGAAAATATCGGGAATTCTTGATTTTCCCCTCTCATCTCTGCGATCGTGTGTTTACAACAGCTTTTTATGTCAATCGACCACAGTAGTGTCTGTCCAACTTTACAGTAAATTTTAACGTATTTGTGTTACATATCTTTGAGCAAGTACCATATTCAACTGATTTACCTTTATGTGACTTCTGGCTATGATTGCAACTCAAAGAACCGCTCCCGGGAAACCGTTTGGAGTTAACTGAAGACATCAAAACAAATTCGACGCGAGAGCTGAGATCGACTGATATAAACAACTTCTGTAAACACACTGGTAGATAGATCGGTATATTTGGCATCATAATTAAGGACAGTTGTATCAACCTAGGAAAAAACCTGTCTTCCATAGAAAGTATCTAAAAGTTGGCAAATCTTAATGGCATAGAGGCAGAAATATCTGAAATGTTTATAATGCAAGCATTTTACTAATGTACGTAATGTTGGACTGTACCAGTACTTAGTACAGTACCCCGCCAACTCATTAGAAACAGGGTAAATATATGTAAAAATTTACGAATAACATTCTTGGACAGTTTGCTAGGAGAAAAATTTTAATTTTTTCCACTGCCTAAGCATTAAGTAGACTAAGCACTACTTATTACCACGTGTCAAATATTAAAAAAAAAATGTACCGTTGCAATTAACGGGACTTAAATTCGAAATTATATTGAAATATTTACTTCACTTGGAGTTAGCATTTGTGATTTCTGAGTCATCAGAGATAAATTGAGTGGCGTAGTGGCAGGAACCGATTTTTTTTTATGTGTTTGACTTTATTTCAGCTATTCCACAGTTTTATGTATTAGGTAAGTATTTTTTTTAAGTTTTCTGAAGCATTATAATATAAGCCATAAAAAATGTACTCTTTAGGAAATAGGTGAAAAATCGGACATTTCAAAGAAAATTCAAAGTGCCATTGCTGCACTTTTAAAAGATAAAAGTACATCCTACAGAAAAATAATAAAAAAAATTGGAATGAGAATTGTAACACACATTCAAATATCGCACTGTTGGTCGCACAAGTATGCGGCAAAATGGTGCCCAAAATGGAAAATTCGACATAAAGTAATGAGGTTCACTCTGTAATTGCGCAGCAAAACAGCTAGAAAAATTTAAAACAAGATAAATGGTGTCCATGAAAAARTATCTCAAAGAAAAGTTGAACGCATCTTTCCAGAAAAAAGCCTAAAAACCGCTGTACAACAAAGAAATCAAAATTGACCAAGCGAATGAAAAATCAACGAGTGACAGGGGTCAAACTTCATCAGAACAACACAAAGGTGGATKGAAACAATGTAAGCATAAAAAGTTATGAAAGTCCCCCGAAAGTCCTCCATTGAAAGCTATGTTGCAGTTTAACATGACTTTCTCCTTAACAAAGGTTAACTTTAAACTTTAGCGACGATGGCCGGCTAGAAGCAGTGACAGAAATCATTCGATTTGTGCGCCGTAGACTGTGTGAAGGCTGTTAATAAAAACAAAGGTTTGTCAAACAAATGCAATTAAAGTTTACGTTTTTCTTAATTTTATGAAAATATGATATTTCAAATAAATATTATAAAAAAAATTGCATTCACATATCCTAATAACTT